AGGGTATTTTAGACATTTCACCTGTAATCCCATCTAATCAAGTGAACAAAATAAAAAATTGTTAATTATTTGACTATTAATATCTAAGTCATCCCACAAACCAAACCAGATGATTAGTGTCACTCAGAGTCATATCAATCCCAATATTAATTGTCCCATCCCACTCTTTCTATCCAAACCATCCAACCAAAAAGGCCCATAGTGTTTCATTGTATTGAGCTGGACACAAAAAAAAAGAACAAGAGAATAATATACTTATTTCTCTCTATATTACTATGGGCTCGTTCGGTTACCGCTATAAGGTTCAACTGACTAAATAGTAGGGACTAATTGCATGTCCGATTGGTAAGATTCACACTTTTTCAAACCCGCTACTAAATTCAAAACCCGCTATTAAATGCTACTATTTCATTAAATTAGTAGCACCCCTCCCCCTAGATTAATTTAATGGGACTCTTTGAGGAAACCCCCTCATTACTTTTTTTAATGGAGAGAGGTCCAAAATATTTCAGTTCATTTGAGAAAAGCTCACACCCATTTTGAGCCATTATGTTTTCCAGCTTTGCCCCCGCCCGCCACATCATCACTAGGTCACGCGCTCAGCGATTTTTTTTTCCCCATTTTTTTCCCCCTTCTGTATCAGTTTCCTTAATCGACTATGAAACATAGTCAATTAGCCTTAATCGACAATGCTTCATAGTCGATGAAGGAAAATCTTTAATTTTTAAATTTTTTTTTGTTTTTAAATTTCTTTTTTCTAATCGACTATGATGAAACATGGTCGATTAAGAATCTGCTACTAAACATAATAAATCACAATTGCGAAAAAAATGCAAAATCAACTATATTTTACAAAAAAAACAAAAAATATACAAACATTATAATTGATTTATACACTTGGAATCAATAAACAAAAAATCCAAAAAAAAAAAATGGAGTCGATCAACCTTAATCGACTGCCAGAACACTATGGTGCACGGACACGGATACGTGGACACGGTGATACGCGGATACGGACACGGTGATACGGCATTTCCAAAAAAATAGGATACGGACACGTGGGGGATACGTGTAAATATAAAAAATGTAGGGGTATATTTATAAATAATAAAAATATAGGGGTACATTTATAAATTGTAAAAAATATGTATAAGTCGTCATCGCATAAGAGAACCACTCGCCCTTGTTGCTCGTGTTCTTGATCGCCGTCGCATGCTAGACTTTTGGAGTTTTTGGTGGACTCACAAAGAAAACAAAGGAAATGTGTATTACAGAGAAAAGAAAATGCGCATTTTTTTTATTAGAGCTCTCCTTTACAACGTAAGAGAAGTGTCCCAACTTTTTTAAAATTGTGGACACTGCCCGATACGGGTGTCCTACTTTTAGCGAAATTACGACACGACCCGACACGGGTGTCCGAGAAGTGTCCGGGAGTGTCTGAGTGTCCAGGTATCCGATACGGGGACTCTTCACCTTCTAGAAGTGTCCGTGCAGCATAGCCAGAACATAGTCGATTAGCTTAATCGACTATTGAACATGGACATAGTCGATTAAGGTTTCAACCTGTGCGAAATTCTCTACAGGCGCCGTCCTCCGTCCGATCCACAAAAAAACTCAAAATCAGCCTCCCCATCGTCACCACACCGCCGGACTTGGTGGGAGTTTTCTTTTCCCCTTGGCTGAAAATTTAAATGCGATAATTACAGTAAGGAAGAAAGAAAGGAGAGCATATATCCAGATTTGTTTATGAATTACCTGTTCTTAGTGAAGAACTCCTTGGCGGCGGCGGCGGAGCAGACCACCACCCGCAGGCCACCACCGACGACTTCAAGCACACCAGCTGCGAGAACGTCTCCAGTCCCCGCATAGTTCCCCATGGGGTTTCTGCGGTCAGAACGGCGGCGACGGCGATGGAGGGGATGTCGAGCGTGTACGACTTGTTGGCGTCATGTGCACGCGCGGCGATGGTGTCGGCGACTGTGATTGTGAGGGTTTTGAGCGGTGAAGACGAAGTGAGGTTGAGTGGTGGAAGGACGAGGGGACGGTGGTGGTCGGTGAGGATCGGCGGCGGTAGCAGTGGAGAAATTAGGGTTTCAAAATAGTATATTGACAATTAAGGTTAGGTTTGGAATTATAAAAATAATACTTGACAGAATACTAACCAATGGGGTTTTCTCTAATTATTTTTGGAAGGGAGTTTTGCTTAACTGCATTTCCTAGATGATGGAGGTATTGCTAATAATCCCTAATTTAATAGGGGTGACTAAAAAGGAAAAATACAATTTTATCCTTAAAATTATATTTTATTATTGTAAATTAAGTGGTTTTATAGAGAATTCATATGTAATAACTGATGTTAACAAAATTTAATAGAAAATCTAACCTAAGAAACCGTACATTCTACTAACTAAATAATTAATTAGTCAGTAGGAAGTTAATCCAATCTCATGTAATCCAATCTAATCCAATATAGGTAACCGAACGAGCCCATAAGTTTCTAATATATATGTATAAGAAATTGTATGACCTAAAAAAATAGAAAAAAAATGTGAGGTGCAAAAAAAAAAAAAACAGATTAATGCAGAATAAAAAATAATAAATGCAATATTATTTGGTGCAAATTTTAAATGTATGAAGAATAATTTTAGAAATAATTTAATAAAGTTATTAGTCCATAGACTCAATCAAATATAATGAAACGTTGGACTATTAATAATTAGTTACTTATTTGAACGGGGTTAATATATATATATATATATATATATATATATATTTTCGAGTAAAAAGCAGTTTACCCCCTAAACTAAGACCCGTTTTGCGCTTTACCCCCCTAACAATTTTTTTTTGCACGTTTTTACCTAAACTCGATTTTTTGTTGCACGGTACCCTAAAAGTAGTATTTTCAGGTAATTTTCACCGGAATGTTGTGCACGTGCCATTCATGTGAGATTAACAGGGGCAAAATTGTATTTGCCTTTCTTTTTTTTCTTTTTTTTTTTTATTTTTCCTTTTTTCTCTTCCATTTAATTTTGTTTTTCCCCATCTGCCTTCTTTCTCAACTCATCTGTTCGTGAAACAGAGTGCAGAAACACAAAACGCAGAATAACAAAATCCTCGAAAAACCTCCAAAATAAAACATAAAAAGAATAAGAAAAGGAACAAAAAATTGAGAGCAAAAGCAAACCTTAATCTCCCCTTAATTATCAGACACCAGTACTCAAATTGTGTTTTACTTACATCAGCATGTGGGTCAGTGGCGAGGCCAGAAAAAATTGTGAGGGGGGGCTTAAACATATCGGGGGTTCGGGGGCAGAGCCCCCGAAAAAAAATTTGCTATCGAAGAAATTTAAGATGAAAATTTGATTTGAATTTTTTTTCTCTCTATTTCCGGAAGATAATACCCAAACGAATCGCGAAAGTTAAATTAC